TGAAAAAAAAAGCATGTTATAAACATTGTATTATTAGATTCATTGTGATGTTGGCTGTCATTTCAGTTTCAATTGTTATACTTCTTAATGTTTTGGAACTTAAAAAAAAGTAGAGTAGTTCTAAATATTATGAAATGACAGACACATTGAGGCCAAAACAACTACTTTGTGTTTCTACTATCATCCGCAGAAAAAAATAGAATAGGTAAATATTAGCCAGGCATTAATATATATCTTTACTGTGCTTATATAGAGCAGGAGTTCTGACTTTCACAGTGTATAAAAGTTTATAAACATCATATTACTATTAGTGTGTCCAGTAATTGTGGGGTAAGCAGAAACAATATTTGTTTTAATTGGCCTTATTTAATGATCATTACTAGGTCACACAGGAATCATTTATAACTTGAGAGATAGAATAATTCTTCGCAGAAAAAATGGAAATATTTTTTTTTTTTTAACCTTTTCTGATTTGTACAATTTTAAAGTATCTTCTGTCTGAAATCTGGACATGACTTGGTTTATGACAAAAGGTGTAAAAAAAATCTCATACTGGGGTAAAGGTTTTCCCAAAAACTACTGTTAAAATCCTTAAGCACTTACAAGATACAACAATATTTATTTTATGTCAATTTTGCAATAAGCTACAAAGAGCTTGTGTTTGAACAAAACATGAGTATAATAATAGAAACCAAAACATTATAACATGAAAAAAATAAAAAATAAACATACATGTACTATACTGTTAACAAAGAAAAAGAGTTTATCACTTGGAAAGCATTTTGCACATAATAGGCACATTGCACACGGTAAGCACATCAGCACTTGGTAATTTAAGCACATTAAGCACATTTGGGTACAGCACATAAAAAACAAAACCATCACATGGAAAGCTTATTAGCTTATAGTAGGCACATTTGCACACTGTAAGCAAAACAAAGGAGTGCAATGGACATCTCCATTTTTCCTGGTTATTTTTTTTTCTTCTGGAAACAACAAGGGGAGTCTAGAGTGATGTACTGCTTCATCTTTTGTATTAATGAAAGTCGTGAATATCTAGGTGCGTGTGTTTAAACTGTCCTCTTTTTCACTGTGGTTCAAGAAAATATTTCCTTCGTTTTCCACGAGAGTACTGTTTCAACTTTATCGGCCTTTTCAATTCGAAGGCTAATATATAAAAAGAGAGATAATTTTGTTTTGTTTTTACTGGTACCTTTTTAGCTCACCTGGTCCAAAGGACCAAGGTGAGCTTATGCCATACCGTGGCGTCCGTCGCCCGTCCGTCGTCCGTCCGTCAACAATTTCTTTAAACGACTTCTTCTTCCTAACCACTGATTGGAATTTTACTAAATTTGACTGGAAGCATCCTTAGGTGGTGGGGAATCAAAATTGTACAAATGGTGGGGCTGACCCCCAAGGGGGCTGAGGGGCGGGGCAAAAAGGGGGCAATTTGGCTATATTGCTTTAAGCGACTTCTTCTCTGGAACTAAGAGATGGATATCAACCATATTTGCCTGGAAGCATCCCTAGGTGGTGGAGATTCAAAATTGTACAAATGGTTGGGCTGACCCCCCAGGGGGCTGAGGGGCGGGGCCAAAAAGGGGGCAATTTGGCTAGATTGCTATAAACGACTTCTTCTGTAGAACTATGCACTGGATATCAATCATATTTAATCAAAAGCATTCATGGGATGCAGGGATTCAAAATTGTACAAATGGTGTGGCTGACCCCCCAGGGGGCTGAGGGGCGGGGCCAAAAAGGGTTATTT